TTTTTCTTGCAGGACAAGGATCTAAGGTTTGGAAGCATAGGGGCACATATGAGGGGAACCTGCCATTTCTTGCACATAGTGATAAGAGGAAAAAAAGGGAATTACTTATGTTAAATGATGTGGTTTGTGAAGATGTTATTTTCCATATTTAGCTGTTGTCCAGCAGGGTAAGGCACAACCTTTCGGGATTTTTCACTCCTTTATTTTACTGATTACAATGCTGTTGCATTGCATGTAACAGGAACTACCCTGAGTTAGAACTGTGTCACCTGATGCAGGTACAGGTGACAGAGGAAATACTAAGTTCAACAAGATATTAAAAACCAAAAAGCAAAATAAATAACAGAGATTAGTGGTTCTGAGCCCCATACTGCTGCCATCCCATAGGTCTCAAGCTCTATTGCTTAAAATTAACTTTCTTGCGTTTGAAACATATGCACATTGCAGTATAAGGGTAGAGGTGAGTGCTTTTTAGAATTACATTCTGGGCCAAGGAAAAGTAAATTCATTCTTTTAAAATGAAATACCATATGTTCAGGGCCAAGATATGTAGGCCACTCCAAAGATTTTATCCCTTGTCAAGGCGAGAATAGGAAATTGTAATGGATTTTTTGTTCAGATGAGAGCTGATTTTATAACCTATCCCATTAAATGGCATTACATTCACATGACCTGACTTTACATAACAGAGTTATCATAACACAACTGACTGAACACAGAATCTGCATTTTGCAGCAGCAGGTGATATTTAGACCATCATTATTAACTGTTCTGTGCAGAATTTTCTTCCTGCTTATATTTATATGCAATAAAGTCTTCTTTGCTTTTAAATCACACTAAAATAGCCTGATTGCTTATTTGTATAGCTATACACCAAAATGACCCTTTAATTAAAATCATGCAGAGACTGTCACCTAAACAACACTGTTAAAATCCCACTGGGTTTTTAGTAAATAAGGTCTTTGAATTCATCTGTCAGTACCACCTAATAACTGCCTAATGAGTTAGCCAGTTACAACAAGATAGGACAAGTGTAGAGGTCTTGGATATATCATGTTCCTGCATATTTTGTTAAGACTGGTGACTAGAAAGGAGAGAGGGACCCAAATCACCCAGTGAGATTTGCCCTGCTAAAGCCTTGTCAGCTTTCCATCACAAGATAAGTCAGTCTGTTTATGGTGGGTCTAAACTTGCCATTTCTAGTTGTGCTCTGGCCTAATGTGACTCATGAGAAGCCTGACTTCTTCCATTCTGCTGTTCTAACTGGATCTCTTAACATGTTCTTTCATTGTAAGGTTTCATTTAGGGAGGAACAGATTTCACTACTTTTGTCAAAGAAGCTTTTGTCTAATTTTTTCAAATTTTTTTTCAAAAGTTTCTTTTTAGATTTTGAGTTGTTCAGAGCACCCCAGACTCTGCTTCAACTGATGGCAGTGGCAGAATATCTTTTGATGCCCATGGGAGCAGCACAGGACCAGCCTTGTATCCTTTCCACATGCCCACAGTTTTTAGGTTTCTCTGGCCAAGAATGTTGTATTACTCTGCACACCTTAGTTCTGTTAGTATAGAAAGTAAATATATGTGACTATTTAAAATTAAGAATAAAATGGATTTTTCCTAGCTCACTTTTTTGAGGCAGTTCCAAGGCTAATATTTCATTCTGAATGTCTAAACATTTCTGTGCAGGATCCATACAGTGAGTTGGACAGTACAAGATGTTAATTTCTTATCACTGAAGCATAACATTATTAATATGTGCTGAACATGATGGCTGACAGAGAACACTGGCCACAGCCAGAGAGCATGAAAGTCCTTTCAGAGACAAAATGTTTTAGCAAATACCCTTACTAAGCATGAAAGAATACTGAAGTGAAATAGAGTCTGTGTTGTGCTGTGAAGTCAGTGGGAAACTGACATTTTGGTGCAAAGAGTAGATCTGCTGTTTTTCTCACATTATATGCCTAAATACATATCAGTTGGAAGGTTTCCTTAATCTATATGTTAATATCAATTGCCAATAGTCACTTTGACAGCCACAGCTTTTTTTTTCTCATAGTTGGTTTTGGATTAACATCAACTGACTTGGAAATATCCACCTAAAGTCTTGGAAAGAACAAGTCAGAACAAGAGATTGCATTAATTTGCTGCTTTTCCCTATTGTTTAAAAAGTCCTACAATACAACATATTATAATAACAAAACAAAACAAACAAAAACACCAAAACAAAACCAAAAAAAAAGGAACCAAAACAAAAAGCAAGCAAACAAAAAAAATAACCAAACGTAAAAAAAAAAAAAAAAAAAAAAAAAAAAAAACCACCAAACCTAAAACCAACAGCAGGACAGCAGGACATTGTAAAAGCCAGTCAGGTCATTTAATACTATATGCTATAATTTTTTCCTTTTCTGGCCAAGCATAAATAATCTTGTGAATCTGGAGTTTAGACAGCCCAAGTTGTCTAACAAAAGTACAGTTACTCATGAATAATTTGGATTTCAATGTCTATGTGAAGAAAATGGCTCAACACAAAGCTTTTTGTATTAAAGCCATCTGTGACTCAACATCATCACACATGATACGGGGTCATTGTGTGAAAGCAGTAGTGCATGAACAGCCATAGAAATGGTGTATGAAAAGCCACTTAATGCCATGCACAGTTCCTGGAAATGGTAATGATGTGGGGTTTGAGGAACAGCGATGCACTTACAAATCCTGCTGGTTTTAAAATTAGCTGTCTTTTCCATGCTCAATATAGTTGTATGTGAAATTTTGATGCATGGAAATGACGTTATTAGCACGAGTTTTTCACTTGGGTATGTGAGTCATGCAGCTTTTCCAAAAGAGAGCAATGAAATGCTGATAACACACTAATGTGTATTCTGTATGCATGTTATGTATTGCAGAAAAACATTTCTTTGAGGTATGGTAAAGTGCCCTTAAGAATTATGTTGTATAATTTTTTCTTACTCGTGTCTGCCCATCAGATTTTTTTGAAAGAATATTGGTGTCCATTATAGTCACATATAAAATTCATTGATTTCAAAAGCTCCACATTTTATCCTGCAAATTCCCAAGCATTGCAAAGTGGAGATATACACATATTTGAAACCTAAAATAGATTTTATGCACAAAAAGAATCATTTACATATAAATAAATATTGTCTTCTTCTCCCATAGCCTTTTACACATGAATTTTAAGAACTTTGCAAGGCTGAATAAATATATTCATGAAAGTTTGACTGCAGATTATATAAAGATTCCTCCATTTTGACATAAATCAAATTAATCCTCTTTGAATCTTCACTGAAGTGATGATGCTAGGCTAAATAAATCTCTTTGAATTCTCATTAACTGTTAGTACAGCTGATTCTTTGACTGGTTCATTAGCATGCTTGATGGCATATGCTCAAAAAGAAGAAGAAGAAAAAAGAACCCTACAATTTAATGCAAAATAGAACAAAGCTGTAGATTTCAGTCTTTGTCTTGTACACACTGTAAGGTACATGGAGCAATGATCTAACTTAAGCATTGCATGAGATTCTTCTGAATTGCCATTCAAATCTTTTCCTAACTTTGACAAAATATAAATTAATTACACAGCTGCGTATAGATTTTCATCTGTCAAACTCATCTAAGACTATGGAGACAAAAAGTGGTGATATATCTACAGTATAACACTGACAAATAGATATCAGTAACTAAGTTTCTATTTTGCAAGAGAAGAGCATAATTCAGCTTTAATGATTTTAGAAACAAAAGGAAAAGTCACGTCTTTATCCCATGAACAGCTAAGCGAGATAATTTTACATTGCAACTCTCAAAAATGGGAAATTCTCATCCAACTCCCTGTCAGTCATACAGATACGGACAAACTACTATCTACTAAAGAAAACACATAATATGCATAAAATGCTACTATATGTAATAATCAATTATCCACTAAGAAGCTATATAATTTAGATGAATTGTCACGGTACTTGGCAGAACTCAGAACAAAGGAATGCACAAGATCACAACAAAAATAGAGCAATCAGCAGCCATTTTCCACATTATATGGCAGCAGCAGCAGCAGCAGCAGAGCTGCACAAAGGTTTCTGCATTCTGTTTGCATGATCTAATATTGCACCACAGAATGAGTTCAGTTCCTTGGCTTGTGGCAAAGGTGGGCGGGATTTCCAAGAGGTCTCTATTTACATCAAGTCCCTGCACAGCTGGACGGAGCATCTGTGACTGAATGTGATGGGGTGCACCACACCAGGCATAGCCACAGGCATCAAACTGCCTGAATAGTCTTTTAGGAGAACAGGATACTGCATTATTTAATCTATCCATAATAAGTTCCACTTTAAGCGTAATAATGCCTGCTGTCATGTTTCTTGACTTTCATGATCTAATCCAAGTTGCTTCTTCTTATTATATAACTGTACTTCAATGCAATCCTAAAGACTGCTTCAGGATGTCTCTTACAGATTTCCATTATTTATGTATTGTCACAAAACCACTTCAAAGGCATGTCTAGATGTTGGGAAGACCTAAGATTTACCAGGTCCTCTCAGCTCAAATAGAGAAAAACTATTAATTGTTGGGATTTCTTCATTGTAAAGGGAAACTCCTAAAATCCACATGGCAAATAACCTTGTGTTATTCCTATTAAGAGTACCTTGGAGAACAGCTATGGCTTTATGTTATTTACATTTTGTGATAACCAAATTCTCCTTGTTCTCCCTGTTCCTAGAGCAATGCCCAGAGTGATCTCTGCCAGAGATGGGGTTCAGCTCCCTTTCCTTGTGGGTGCCCACATTCTTGTCTGGCTCCCTCTGCCCATTCAGATCAGTGCCCATACTTCAAATACTTTTCATGCAAACTACAATGCTAACTGAGATGATAGCCCAGGATAATGGAATAAAAGCTTTATTTCACAGACTTTTCCAATCTAAACACACTCTGAAAGTTACGCATTGAGAAGTTGACTTCTTTTCCTCTTTCCTTCTTATACTTACCTCAGGAAGAAGTGAAGAACAGCAGCCACGCTGAAGAGAAGTGAGAGCAGTGTACCAAGCCCTGTGGAAACAGAAAGGAAGCAGTAGATCATTTCAACGAGAGCAGTATGTCTTGGCGTTGTTCCTTGACACCACCCCCGCCATCCCAGCCTCCTCTGCCCCTCCCACACTCACACATCTAAAAAGCAGATGGAAAATATTCTGCCAGGAGACATTGAAATACAGTGTTAGAAAGTTACTGTCTTAAGGCTGGAGAAAGTGATGGAGAACTCTGGCAAGCAAATTAAATTATTCATAGTCAGTGGCATTTTGGAAGGAAAAGCGGGAAGGAAACAGGAGACTGAAGGATGTTATAGGGATTGTACAAGAACCATCTGGGATATTGGAAAAATATGCACTTCATCTTGCTACACTTCAGAGAGACACCAGTGAGGTTAATTCTGTGTTCAGGAGACATTACCAGTCTTCCCAGTTTGTTTTTAGAGCATATTCTAGCGCTGCCACGATATTATGGATATGAGTCCATGCTACCAAATCTCTTCCCTCAAACTTTACTCTAATGGCACTGAGCAATGACACTCAGATCCTGAAGTTACTGTAATTTCCTCATCTACTACGTCACTTGGTACACATACTAGTCTCATCTGGATTTTAAAGGTGTGACATGGAGAAGAGATGATAATTGGAGTCATTCTCAGTGTTTCAATGATTAAACTTTTCTTTAAATTTTATTTCCCAATTACATGTTCTCTTATGTCTCTGAAAGACTGCAGAACATGTTCTCATAAGACCTAAGGTACTCTACATTCAAATTAAACAGGTGTCTTTTTTGATATGCCTCACTAAGAAAATATGTATGGCATATTACAGAGTAACAACAATTAGAAAGAACCCAGTTCAACCCCCGAACTCTTGCATGGGGATAGAAGGAAGGAGAGGAAAAAAGAACCATGTGTGAGTGCAGACACTGCAATCAGTGTTTTTATGAATATATTAAGATGACATGATGAACACAGGAGGTCACCTTGGAGAAATATTTTTTCTTTCTGTTTCTTCTTCTGGGTTTATGGTGTTGACAAACATCTAATTAATTTTCCTTTCATAGGTCTATCCCATGATGTCTTTGTACCAAAGGTAATAGAAACCAGATGGAATTGCTCACTTGGATATATAGATGTGCATAGTACATGCATGTATACACACAGACACATTAATTTAACCCCAATAACAATAATCTTATCAACTTCCAGAGCTTCATCAAGATAATATTGTATTTAGATTTGAAAGTATACGTCAAACTCTTTAGAAGTGTTGTCAAGCTCTTTCTCCTCTCTGCTCCCCAAAACAATACAGTGCAGTCTGCTACAGGTTCTGCACTTGTCCAACCCAAGGAAAGGAAGAAGCTGACATATATTGCAGAAATATTCCAAGCAGTGTAATTTTCCTATCCTCACAAACTTATATTGTTGGAAACCAGCTTTTTTGTTGGAATTTGCAAATAAACCAGCACCTGACACAGTTATCTAATGGCCTGAAGGAATTCTTACAATTCTTACACAATCAATCCTTTTGACTTTTATTGTAGCAATCAGTGAAGTGTTTCAGTATCCTGTAGCATATTAGTCTAATGTTTTTTCAGCATGCAGATTATTTAGACCAGAGATCATTGTTTTGGTTATAAATCATGTAATAAACTTGGGATACAACTGGAAAAATATAATGAAAAAAACAATAACTAATATGAAGCACCAGGAAGAATCAGTAGGAAAAAGATAAATGGTTGTCAGCAGGAATATTAGGCATGTGTACCCATGTGTAGATAAACACCAAGCAGATTGCTTGTTTAAACATTGTTTATTTTTCTTGAGTTTTTGTCTGACAGGGGCTGCATTTCTCTCAAGAGGGATTGTAATGAATGTATTTGGTATAGCTGTGTTAGTTGCTTGGGGTAGCTCTTCCACAGGAAAACCATTCCAGTTATCATTCCAAAATGATGTTCCTTTAAAACAAATACGAATAGTATTTTCATTATGAATTTAAACAAATCTTTGCAGAAAGAAATCTGAGCAGAATCTCTTAATAAAAAAGAAAAAACAAACCAAAAACCCACCTAGTTATTTTGCAAGAATAATGATTTCTTCATATAAAAATTCCCTTTTATTAATCTCAAAACTCTAGTTTCTTGAGGTGGAGAAAAACAAACAAAAAATATTTAACACTGAAAAACCACAAAGGACTGCAAGGATTTCAAGAAAGAGTAAGTTTATTAAGTTAATACATTTAGAAAGTAATATTGGGACCTAAGTTTCTCAATAATCTTTTTGGATGAATACCTGGGGAATTAAAATTAGCCTTCCCTTAATTTACTACCAAAATACAAAATGCATGCCTGTCCATTCTACTAAAACAGCTTGAGCACTCACAAATATAAAAAGACATGTGTAGCATGCAAACCCCTTTTACAGATGGAATTAAAGATAATATTGTTTGACTGGTAGAATATATTTATAAACCCTATTAATTCTTAATCTGTGTGCACATCTAGTATCCTTAACTGGCATTCAATGCAGTCTGCCCACGGTGTCTGTGCCAGGGCCATTCACCTGCCATTCATTCGTGCAGAGAACATTGCAGAGTCAATCTTTCAACAAGTTCATTTTATTTTCTTGTCCCAAAAATGTAATTTTCAGCTAAATAACACAAGTTGCTTACTATGTTTGCAGTAACATTATGTTGCATGGGGTAAATAGAAATTCTGGGGTAGATTGCCTAGCTGTAATTCTTCCATGGAAGTTAAAAATGTCGTTTAAAAGGGCCAAGTTTGGCTTTTGCTTCCTGCTTGCCAAATCTAGATCTTTGCCAAGTTTTCTCCAGGGGGAAAAAGAAGAGAATATTCTGCCAATTTGTTTCAGGGAAGCAGGCCTCTGAAGATGACCCCTGGCCAAGACAAGTCAAGACCCTGGTGAGGGTTGAAGGAAAAAGCTTTCTTGGAGAAAAAAAAAAAGGACAGGATATCCACAGCAGGTGTTTGCATTAGATGCTGAGAGAGTGTCTCCGTGTGAACATCTCCTCTCACTCCAAGTGGTCTCACATGCACAAAGCTTGGGAACAGTGCTGGAGTTGGTTTTGTATCCTGCATGCAGTGTAGCCATCAGAGCAGCACCATGCTTGACTGCACTGCCAAGAGAACAACCCCAGAGCCAACCTGGCAACCTTCATTCTGATGATAGCAGGTGTGCTAGAAGGGCAAAAGAGTGAGAACTTTGGGCTCATCTGGATGCCACTCTGCCTTGTAGGAGTGGAGGGTGAGAGAGAAGATTTTTCTGGTCTTTATAAGGATTATTGATTCCTCTCATTCAAACGTTTCCTCTGTTGAAAGAACTGGGAGGTGAGAAATAGGTGAGACCACAGCAGGGTGTGATTCTGGATGCTGAAGCATGTTGCTGCTGCCTCTTATGGTAAAGATTTTGTTTGGGCATTTGAATGTTGTTGAGGTTTAGTGCTTGCAGCAGGATTTGGGCTATTCCAGGCTGGACACACAGGGTGACGTTTGTAGGGATTTTTGTCATTAAAGTGAGTGAGGCTCAGCAGCTTCCTGATGAGGGAATATAAATCTTCTGTTTCTAGAGTCAGAGGAAAGTAATAATATGGAGACAATGCTGAAAAAGGCAAGGAACCTAAATCCCAGAACATGTTTGCAAGAATGGGTTTCAAACTATCACTGTCACATGTAGTTCTGATATTCATATGGCACAAAACTCAGCTTTCCCAGGTTAATGCATATATATGTGTAGAGAGAGAGTTTTAAGTAGTTTATTTGCTAAAAATATAGACAAACATTTAAATATTTCCTCCTAAATGTGATTTTAAAAACTCACTGAATTTGGTTAGGCAATCCTGCCTAAGCTCAGCAGTGCTTAAGATTCTCTATGGATAAAACAAATCACAAAATAATCAAGGTTGGAGAGGACCTCTGGAGTACTCTAGTTCAAGATCTTACTCAAAGCAGGGTCAGTTCTGACATCACAACAGGTTGCTGAGGCCTACCTTCAGCTGGATCTTGAAACCTTCAGTGTGAGTGAAGAGCTTCTCTCAGACACTGTCCACCTGGAGAAAAAGCTTCTCCAGCCTGAAACTCTTCTGTTTCAGTTTATGCCTCTCCCCCTGTCTTGCAAGTCTGTGACGGGCCCAGCTCCACCTTCTTGATTACCTGCTTATATATACAGGGGAGACATTCTTCTCCAGGTTAATCAAACCCAAGTCCTTCAGCCTCCCCTCTGTATTTTTTTTCCAGTAAGCAAATATTTCTGAGAGTTCTGTGCCCTAATAAACAGCATCAGAATTGACCAGTGTGCTCAGAAATCATTAAAGGGAACTGACGAAGAAAACTTCAGATGAGCAGAGTGGGACAAATCCTTTTAGAAATCTAGCTTGCAGATAAAAAGAGGGAATAAAAAGGATCTTCTCTGGCTAACATTGCAAGGCTATTCAAAAAAGATGAATCAGATCAGATCTGAAGCTTCTAAAAATTCTGGGCAGTGCTTAAGAAGCACCATGAAGAAAGAAATAAAGCAAAACAGCATGTCAAAACAGAGCTATGGGAATATAAACTGCTCGACCCTGAAGCAGTCATTTTGATAAAAGCCCAACTAAAAACGTTTTCATGGAAGCTAACTTTAGCGTAGTGAGGATAATCACCTCTGCAGTCACCAGAGAGAAACAGGATCACATAATGGTCCTGCATGCTTCACTGCTCCTGCCCAGGCTATAGAGGCAGTCTGGTGACATGAGCCTGAGCAGGATAAGTCAGCCTTCATGAATGCCTACAAAAAGTCTGTCTGCAGAGTTATGATGTTAGGTAAGCTGCATCCACTGACAGCAGATTTTCCTGGCAGCCCAGTGGGCTGAAAACCATTGGCAGCAGAAGATTTTGCTTTAGCAGAGCTACTTCCTTTCAGAAGTGCTGAGTTCGGGTGCCTGTGACTGCCCCATTTCTTTTCCCCATCTCAAACATGTGTGAAGTGGATTGCGGGTAGGAGAAGCTGTGTTG